GACAAACATTTTGGAGAGGAAAAACTTATATTAAACACATATAAAGAGATCTATTTCTGACAAGCTGTTTCCTAGGCAAAGCATCAACCTTGAACCACACCAGGCACCTTTAGGTGCTGGCTCTGTTTGCCCATATGCAACTGCAGGATGATTTTTCATTTTTGGCAGCAGACAGGGATCACAGTCATTGTTAGATGTTACAAGATCTAGGGTTTGTTTCCGTTCACTTTTGGTTTTGTTTAGAAAACAACACAAACTGTTTTGGAAACGCCTCTGTCCCCTTGCAAAGTGAAGCACTCGAACCCTGGATGGGGGAAAGGATGGAGGGAGCAGAAGGGGACACAGCTCCAGATTCCCCACAGAGCTGGCATTCAGAACTCGCTGTCCCTTCTCCAGAGGATGCTCTGGCAGTGACAGGAGCAGAAACTGATCTGCTCAGACAGGGACAGGGGCTGCTGCTCGCTGTGAGCACAGCCCCCCTGCCCAGCCAGGGCAGCCCCCGCGCTGCCCAGGGCACAGGGGCTGGCACAGGGGCTGGCACAGGGACTCCTGCCGGCCCAGGGAATGGCACTGGGACTGGCACAGGGACTGGCACAGGGACTCCTGCCGGCACAGGGGATGGCACAGGGACTCCTGCTGGCCCAGGGGATGGCACAGGGACTGGCACAGGGACTCCTGCCGGCCCAGGGGATGGCACAGGGACTCCTGCTGGCCCAGGGGATGGCACAGGGACTCCTGCCAGCCCAGGGGCTGGCACAGGGACTCCTGCCAGCCCAGGGGATGGCACAGGGACTGGCACAGGGACTCCTGCCGGTGGCACAGGGACTGGAACTGGGACTGGCACAGGGACTCCTGCCGGCCCAGGGGATGCTTCCCTGCTGAAGATTTCACTGCACTCCCCCATGGACATCAAGAAGAGCCCTGAAAGCACTTTTCTGCCCTGTGTAACTTTTCCATAACTTGTTGCAAGGCTCACAATGAACCAAAAGAGAAAACTGCTTTAAAGCAGACTCGGGTCCAACCCGTTAGCAATTAAGTTTGTCAAAATGGCCTTTGGTCCTGCAGTTGTTCAGTCCTACACACTTCGTCATAGAGTTATTATTTCTGTGTGCCACATCAGCTAAGACAGCACACAGATCCCCAGCAGCTCTGAATTACACTGAGGGAGCTGCCAGTTTCTCCCAAGATGCCAAAGATACAATAACTGAAGAGGCTTTTCCAGCTAAGGGCAAAGTGAAGCAACAGAAATGTATCTGAAGTACACCTGTCACCCTTTTCCAGATGAATCTGTTTGTCAAGGCAAAAGTAGCTTGTAGCTTGGTAAGAAAACCAGCCTGTATTTGTAAAAGAGTAATACATAGCTTTCTGCATGCTCCCTCACCTTGAATACCTGTGCTTTCAGAATAAACCCCACTGAAGTACATGCTTAGCCTCATTTTTTCACCATTTACATAGAGGTTCTCCTTCAGCAGGCTGTTTCACATCACACATGAGCTCCAAAAATAAGGAAGGCCAAAAGAAATTGAAAGTCTGTAAGTTCAGCAGCCAAAAAAATATAGTAGGATTTTGTAAACCTATTGAAAAATATGTTTTTAAATACTCTCCAATCATGCCTCTCACCATACTGGAGCCAGCTTAGACCAGGACTGGGAGCTAGCACACCTAACTTGCCTCCAAAGTCTGCTGGAGTTTGATGTTTTGATTCTTTTTTTAAATCCTCACATCTGCAGAATGTCTCGGGCTCATCTCACAGAGCATCAAAGCTCACCCTGTTCAACATGCCAAGATGAGGAATGGACAAATAAAAGATGATATACAACAGAGCAAAATATTCTCTTCTTGAAGAGAAAGCAAACCTGAGTCTGTGAGGCAAACATGCCCTGATGAAGCACATCTGGACACTGAGCAGAAACATGGATCACGTCTCATCTGTCTCTGATACATCCTGATCCGGAGGGTGATGCTGTCCCTTTCTCACGTATCTTCCCAACAGGTAAAAAACTAACATGTGCCAACAAATACCACCCATACAAACTGGAAGTTACCGAGTGCTGCCTCGGAGGCTCTAGAAACCCCATTTTTAGCCAAGGCAGGCTTACCCCCGAGGGAAGCCCTCTAGCAAACACTGTCCGAGAGGCGTGCTCGGAGCAGGGCCGGGATGCCGCGGGCTGCCCCGAGCAGCCCCAGCGCCGCCGGCACCTGCAGCAGCGGCAGGAGCGCTCCGGCTGCCGCCGCGGCGCGGCCATGCCTGGGTGGGACACGGGGGAGCGGGGCGCTCGCGACGCGGGGGGGATGCCACAAAACGAAAAAGGCACCTCCCGTACCTGCGCCGCGGGGCCAGGGCCTGCCCGGGGCCGGGGAGCGGCGGCGCGGAGCGGAGCGGGGAGGCCCGGAGCGCGGCGGCGGGGCGGGCGAGAGCAGCGGAGCGGAGCCGAGCGGAGCCGCCGCCTCCTCCTCCTCCGCCGTGACTCACCGCGGCGGCCCGAGGGAGGTGCCTGGGCGGCTCCGGGGGAGGGACCCGCCGCGTCCCGGCGCCCAGGGCAGCGGCGGCGCCGCAGGCAGCACCCGAGAGCCGGCCGGGAGGAAGGGGCGGGGACCGGGGCACGGCCGGGGAAGGGGCGGGCGGGCACGGCCGGGGAAGGGGCGGGAAGGGGCAGCGCCGGCCGGGCCCCGCTGCGCTCCCCCTGCGGGATCCGCTCACCCAGCGGGACCCCGCTCCCCCTGCGGGATCCGCTCACCCAGCGGGACCCCGCTCCGCCTGCGGGACCCCGCTGCCCCTGCGGCACCCCGCTGCCCCGGCCACAGCGGCTCGCACTCACCTGAGAAGCCCTGTGCAGGGACGCGGTGCCTGGGTGCCGGGGCTGCTGCTGTCCCTGCCGAGGTCCGTCCCAGCGGGGCAGCTGCTGAGCAGCGCTGCGCTAAGAAAGTTAAAGACACTGCAACATCCAGTATAGCTGGAGCTAATTTAGCCAATACAGACAATGCCAACCTCCAAATAGAATCAGTGGTCATTTGGTCATTGAAGCACTCAAAAGTAAAGTAATGCTTCATCTACATTGACTGGAGAAGAGTAAAATCCCAGTGAACGCAGAGAGGAATGAATTAAAGCTAAAAACCAAAGAAGACAGAAGCCACCAAAGGCTCTTAGCCTGCTCCACCACTCATGTGCATGATGGTTTCCCACTAGGTTAACAGTAACCCTGCCCCCTCACAGGGTGCATTGCTGAGGCCAGCAAGGTAAGTACAAAATTCCTGGAGATGAAAATGCTTTGTGAACCAAGTGTTATTTAGTAAAACGCATCTGTTTTCCTTAACACTCGGCATTTAACTTAATTGCATAAAGATAGTCACAGTAATGAAATAGGTGGCACTTCCTTTAACAGCTTGATACTTAATGACATCAAAGCCCGATGCCACTGAAATCCAAACCCCACTGCCAGCTAATGAAGGGCTTAACATGAAAGCCTCTGCAAAGAGCAAACCCAAGCCTCTGACAGGAACAGGAATGGTGCAAATGTGCTGGGATCTGAGATCACTGGCACATACCCACAGCACAGCAGGCAGTAATGATTATTAATTATTTAAGAAAAGAACATAAGAGCTCCAGCATAAGCTGAAAAAAATATGCAGAAGCATTGCACTGGGATCCTCCAGTTGGATTACTGTTAATTAGCACAGTACATGAGTCTGAGGGAAAGATCTAAAAGCATCTTATGCTAGTGGGAGCATATAATTAAGCCATCATTTGCATCCTTGCAATAGTATGAATTTCCTGACTGATAACATCATGGGCACAACACCATTTTATGACTAAGTACTGTCTAGCTCTCCTAATTCAGCTGGCTGACTACAGCAGCGCAATGCAATCTTACACATCATCAATTTAACATCCTGCTTTTATTTAGGAAGGGTTTTAGCAGGGAGAGATACCACATGGCTTCCTGTAGCCTAGGAGAATCTTAGGTTTATTTTCTTAAAACTGAGCTCCTGCCCCACCTTAGTTTATTCCCTTCCAGCTTACCGAGATGTTTAGCTATCAAGCAAGGTGACATCTTGCCATCAGTCACTTGTCTCATCACAAGACATGATGGATGCTCAAGAGGCCTCTCAACTATGCTAGTTCTGCAAGAGATAGAGTAAAATATTGTTCATGTCTCATGGGAATGCACAGAGGCTCCCAAAGCAAACAGAACCTAGAACTGCCCCTGATCAAATCCATCACCCTCCCAATCATCATCCTGCTTGACCTAACCCTCAGCAAGGGAATGTCAGAAGTTTAATTATCTAAAGGTTAAGGCTAACATTTTTACAAGTATTGCATAAAGACTTGATATTCATTTACCATCTATCAGATTAAATGGATTTTTTTTCAATAGCTCCTAATCTCTTGTTTAATGAGGCTGCTGTTTATTCTAGTAAGCCAGAACTTCACAAAACCTTTTCCTCCGAATCCCTGCTTGACTTAGAAAAATTCTCACAATTCACCCCATCGTTCCTGATCTCCAGTTCTTTCTTAATCAGCTCTGAAATTCATTTAGGATTCCATCACAGCACAGCTGCTTCCACCCTCCAAGTCCCTCTGTACTTGTTGGCATCCCCCTCTCATTAAGGGCTTCCAGCAGCATCTGCACACACAATCCCTGCTTTCATTCAACCACACACAAAAATAATGAAACCTCTTTCTCTCCAAGATGTGTGTGGTACCCAATGAAGGACTTGGTTTTAATTTGGAATCTCTTTTTCTTTTGTTAATATTTTATATGTCAGACTTAGTGTGATAATTCAAATCCATCAAAATCATGCATCAATCCCATTTCAGCCATAACACAGCCTGAACTGCCTGGCCATAGGGTGGCATTTACACAGAGCTCTCTATCAAAATGAATTTGACTTTTACAGGCAAAGTAGCATGAGAAACTAAGGATCTCTTAAGAAATCTTGTATTTTTTCTTCAACACAAAGGTAACTTGCTACTTTTCCATTCAAGATCAAAGAAGGGAAATAACACAAGGAGAAAAAGAAGAAAGAGAGACAGAATATTTGAAGCTTCAATTTTCTAACACTTTTTCCTTCAGATCAGTACAATCACTGAATTCACTCTATAGAGAAAGAAGATTAAAAAAAGGAGGTTATATACGGCCAAAAAAGGACTCTGGGAACTTTGCTGATGTGTTTAAAGCTACTGTACTTTACAGTTCTTATTTCAGAAGTAAAATGATAAACAAAAAACAAAGCACTTTTAATCTTCAAAGCAATGTATGATCAATAACAACTTCACAGCACTCAATATTTAAGGATCGTAATCTGTATTTTACTCCAGGAAAGAAAGATGTGTACAGAATGAGTGATCTGCCCAGGTCCAACACTGAACTGGGGATAGAACTCACACATCACAAGCTTCTTTGTTAAACACAAACCCATGCTTTCATTTAGCAGTTGTTCTTTTGTTAGCAGTTTTTATTTGAGGAACTCATTATTATAATAAATAAATTATGGACTTTTTTTTTCCAGCCCCTGCAGAAACATTTGAGATGGTGGTAGAGGTACACCCCAGGGTTATTTAGCAATATATTTAGCACAACAACACACCAATTAACTTACTATGCCTGGGGAGAGGTACACCCCAGGGTTATTTAGCAATATATTTAGCACAACACACCAATTAACTTACTATGCCTGAAATCAATCTAACTATTTCAAGAGGTTACTCAACTATCTGCAAGGGTCAACACATGAATCACATCAGCAGCAGCTTCCTTGTTAAATCACATTTAGGGTCAGGGCATTGTGCAGGACACAGCCAGTCTCTGGGGAGAGCTCTGATTTCTGACCCCAGCTTCCGAGAATCTGACCCACACACTGAATCTTGCAATACTGGTACTGATCTCAGTCTCATCTTTGTCCATCTAAACCACCAGAGATCCCTCCAGGAGCAGAAGCAGCAGGACGTTGGAAAGATGCTCAGTCAAGGATCAATTTAATTGGAATGTTACAACTGCCCGCAGTCCAGGTATTAGCAAAAATCCTGAAATATGTACAAACCAATTCCAAAAGTTTCTCCTGGAAACTTACACCTCTCAAACTACAAGGAAAAAGATTCTCATGTCATTGTACTGTAAACTTTTTGTGAGTGCTGAGAGATTTAATTTACATAATAATGCTGCAAGCAGGCTGGGTGTATGGGGAGAGAGTTCCTTAGCACCAGTAATGAGCAGAAAGGAGAAGGCAGCTCCAGTCCCCACAGACTGTTTTGCTTCCCATAATTTCAGAGTCTAATAATGCCTTTTAATAAGCTGCTCTCAGCTATGAAGCTGCAATCAGCCTTTGTGAGAGAACACAATGCTGTCCCAGACAGGAAAATAGTTCTGCTGGAATGGACAAAAGACCCCTCCTCAATAAAGGCTTTCTAATAACAGGGAGAAAGAAGGTCTATCAGTGAAAAACAAATTATGCTTTCTGTATCATGTATTCTTTCATTTCTTAAATGCTAGATGTCAAAAGTATATCTGTTAAAGCAAAATACAGTCTAGAAACACATTTTCTAGTCTACTCCAGTCCCAGTTCACAATTAGACAAACTTGCTAATTTATAGGGTATTTATGCCCTGTAAGTGCACTCCAAATGACGACTGACCATGTTAATTCTCTGTTTATAGTCAATGCTACCCACTTAGTCTCTGAGCTAAAAATTCAACTACATGAGATTTGAAATCTTCCTAAGCCAAGTGAATGCAGGATCCAGTGGAGACACAGACCCTCCTCTGAGGGAGCACCACACTGAGACTGAACAACGTTTGCACTGATCACATCACGGGAGCTTTTCCTCCCTTTTAAAACTTGCTTCTACTTGCAAGCTATTTCATGCCCCTCTGAGATAACAGCAGTGTGCAGTGACACAGCAGAGCTGAAGGGAGAGCATCTCACTGCCACGTCCTATCAATTCCTGTCCTTTCCATACACAAGGTTAAATGACTCCAGAAGCCTCCCCACAGGGCTGCCATTGTCCTCAGTCAGGGCTGCACACAAAGTGCTCATTCATGTGCACGGCAAACGAGCAACCAAGGGCCAGTGATCAGCATCCAGGCTCATTCTGGGTCTTCTGCAAACAGTTTGTAGAAAGATGGCATTTCAATAAACTACATCCATTTTCCAAAGCTTCAATGCTTTCCTAGTACAAACTACTTAGTGGGGAGTCCACACAAAAATTAAGACAATGTGAAGAATCACCCAAAAAAAAATCATGAGGACCACTTATTAAAAAGATCTGCTTGCTACAACCACATGCAAAAAGATTAAGTTTTAATTGTTAGAGAAATACACATTCAGAAAACCTCAAAACAGCTGACTCTTTCCAAAGACAGTCATACCATGCTTTTGTTCTGGAGTTCCACTTAGTGTTCAGCCTCAGAGCTTGTATTACTTAAAGGGTACAGACACCAAGGTTCCAAAGTGCACTTAAGGCTGTTTACTTCATATCTTCTGGTTAAGGACCCAAGAGATTTAGGACTTGGGTTTTTTGTTTTGCTTTGCTTTTTTTTCAACATGTAAGAAATAGAAAAACCAAACGCAGTACGACCAAAATCCAACGCTGCTGATAACTGGAGACACAAGCCTCACGAACCTCTTCATTGTTTTGCCTTTTCTACTTCAACACTCGCAAGAGCAAAGACTTTGTCTCCTGATCCTGAGGGGGAAAAAGCATTTTCAGTAAGTATTAGTGGAAATTGTGAATTACCTTATATACAATTTGAATCAAGCAAAACATTTGAGATCCAAAGAAATCAAACCTACACTGTGAAAACTACAACACTTGAGCTAATTAAAAAAAAAACCAACACCACACAGGCTTGCCAGGTCTGGAGCAGCCACGTCCTACTGGGCCTGGCTGGGATGGAGCTCCCTTTCCCCAGCTTCTCCTGCAGAGCTGTGCTTTGTGTTTGTAGCTGAAATGGTGTTGGCAACACTTCCCCCCACAGAACCCTCTTGAACTAGAGCGTTCTCACCTTGCTTACACTTCTGGGGAGGGCAGAGCTGAAAGGTAGGGCACCCAGACAGTTTATTTGTACCCTGAGCTAGTCTGGCACCTTCCTGCCACTCACAGCTCTTCATCCCAGATTTAACTACTACTACAATGAACTGTGTGTTTATTTAATGCCTTTTGTAACTCAACTCTTGATCTTGTAGACACAGAGGTATGACAGTCATGGCAGGAAGAGTGCTTTAAAGCTGTATTTTGACAATGTGCCAATAACTGCCAAATTCTCTGCATCAGGCAGAGGACACAGCTCTCCTGAAGAGAATCTTTAATGCAAAAAAGATCTGTGTTTAATTCTAAGAGCAGCATCTCTGCTTGAGACAGATTAGTCAAGCCTTCAGCATGATGGACACCCTAGGCATGGCATTTATTTGTTGTGTTCCTTTTTCCTCATAATAGTTTATCAGAGTTTCATTGTTAATAAAACATATATTAACATTTAATGGCATGAATCTCATGTTCATATATTCTCTTTCATAGGGGACTAGACATACTTCTATTAATCAGTGTTCAGTGAGGCACAGGAATCAGAAGTTATGAGAATGAAAACTTACCAAGGTCAGTGGAGACTCTCTCAAATTGGCTCAGGGCTGTACCAGCATTTGTTGACAAGAACATCTCATCATCACCAGTGAGCTAAATCAAAAAAACACCACAACTGTGAAGCTGATACCTTAAGTGTGCATATTCCCACCATCTACTTGTGCATCTGCATGAGCTAGGACAGGTTACAGCAATTGTCCATTTGCAGCTTTTAAGTGGCAGTGTTATCTACCATACTGAAACCTAAAACAAAACAGAAGCTACTTCCCCTAGCACTGAATCTTCCCTCCCTGGCTCCTGTCAGCCCAGGCAGGACAGCACGTGCAGTGTCAGACATGCCTGCACATGCAAGTTTCAGCTTGATTTGCAGTGATAATTTTTTAATAAAAGGTCACACTGTACCTGTGTACCTGAACTATGCCAAGGTGTCAGTAACTTTTTTGTCATATGGTCAGTACAATAAAGAACTAAGATCTAAACTTACTTCCCATCATCTACTGAGGAAAGCAAAAAAAAAAGCAGTCACTGCCAGCTTTGACCATGTTAAGAGCCAATGACCTAGAAATGGTTCTCTTCCTTTAAAGTGACATTTCCCCATGTATATTTTACTTTTATGTATGTGCTCTGATGCCTTGTGACAGATGCCCATAAAATATTTACAATAATGAAGCAGTAACCTACATTTGGAAGGTTCAGATATGCTAAGTTGAAAGTCATTTAATTAGCCTCAGATACACATCTTTATTACAGCAGAGCATGTGTGTCAAACTCTTCACAGTGTTTGCGTCAGTTTATTTACTAGAAATATAAAAATCAGGTACAGATATCCAGGATGATGTTGGAATGAAGGAACACATATTACTTACCTGTCTTTGCTGGCTTTGTTAGCAAGGATACAGCTAATTACCATTTTGCAATGTTGTGCAGACAAACATGCAGCAGTTGCTGTCATTGTTCACATCCAGAACAGATGTGAGACCACTGTCCTAGCAAGCCCTCTGTGCAGCAGGCTACTGACCATTTCAAAAGGTTAAGAGGATAGGTCAGAGTGTGGTGAAGTGACTTCTTGTGGTCCAAGGAACTCACTCCAAGAGGATTAGATAAGTTCAAGTTCACAATCTTAACTAGCCTTTACATATTTGCAAAACATTTTTTTCCTCTGACACTCAAGCAATAAAATACTGGGAAAGCCTTTGCTTTGGAAAGTACTTGGATTGCATCTCCTTTAAGTACTGCACTTGATCTTTTCCATGACATTCCTTCATTTCCTAAAAAAGCTGAAGTACAGAGATACACAGCAACCCATTTTCTTCATATACCATGCACAAAGAGAAGTAACTTCCTCCCTCTGGTGGCAAACCCAGGGCTTTTTCTGCCACTGATGGATCACTGGGGCAACAATGAATTTATCACTCACCTCTCCAATTTCTTTTTCTCATACCCGGGGTAGGCACAACTGACACTATAAAAGTGAAGCTGGACACATGTCAGAGGTCTTGAATAGTTCCTGATGAACTGGTGGCAGATGGCCAGTAAAAGACTCGTTTTGTAGCTTTTATAAATACCATCACCTCGTACCAGCTGGTGATGGTACAGGGTGATGGTATTGGTAATTTCTTATTTTAATTACTTTGTAATTTCTTATTTTAATTACTTCCAATTCCTCCCAGATAGGCAGAAAACTCTACTCACCTGACTATCATACCAACCCCTTACCTTCTCACCAAGCTTTCTGAGGGCAGTCAGGATTTCTAGTTTCTGCTGGGTGTACAGGTCTCGTGGCAACTTCCCAACCATTAAGTCTCTGTCCATCTATACACCAGAGGAGAAAAAGTCAAAATATATAAGCTTCCATTATTTCACCCAACACAACAGCATGAGAAATGCAACAGCCTAAAAATATCATCAGTAGTCATGGACCCACAGCAGCAAGGGACAGAGCTAGCTATGATTTAAGATGTCTATGAAGTTTTTCTGAACATCCCGCAAACACTCTTTATCCCTAATCTTAACTCACTTGATTTCTCCAAACTCTCTTTTTATCAAAGAATGATAATCAACTAAAATTATGTATTCACACATCACTGGTACAAGGAGGAATCCCATTTGATTTCACTTTATCTGGACCTTCAATTTAGATCTCTGATGAAACATCGAGTGCACTCTCCAGGCCTCAGTACAATCACAGACTTTTTATTTGCAGCTTCCTCAGTTCACTCTGTTAATCCCATTTTTACCTTGAAGCAGGAAGATAGAAGGTAATTCAAGAAATACACATGGCTGCCCCCATTACCTCAATAAACATATAAAACTGAACAAATACTGAAAGAGAACTTCTCCATCTCCTTTGGACTTTATGACCAAGTTTTCCAGCACACTCAGTGCTTTCCTTGCAGTCATTACACACTTGAATTAGTCTGCCTCAAATGAACAGCTTTTGCAGTAAAACAGAAGCCTTCACCTCTGCCAGCCTTGTCCTCAGTTGCCTCGGCTGCTTCTTTGCAAACATTCTAATCACTTCTGGAGTTTTAAATGCTTGGCTGATGGCTGCTTGTATTGCCTGCAAGAAGAAGAGCAAGAATGACCAGGACGAACAGGAATCACAAACTACAGCAGCAGGATGTGATTAATGAGGGCTGGAAAGCATCATTAGCATCCTCTGCATCATTTGATACACAGAGCTCATCTTTTTTTTCATAACCATGGAACTGAAATTTCTAAAAAATTACCTTTATGGAAGGCTTAAAGAATGTTCTAATTAATGTAACTAGACTGAGAAAGAGCTGTGAAACTTTTCTTTACTGTCCAGGTCTCAATCTCCTACAATCTTGTGATTCATCAATGGGTATTTTCCCCTTTTAAAATGAAGACACCTATCCAAGTTTTTTACATATACAAGTGTATTAAATTAGGAAATACATTAGTTACACAGATCTATATTTCACATAAAAATTCTAGTGAATCACTTGTATCTATTTGCTGTTTCATCAACTCCAGGCAGAACATGAAGTTTTTTAGCAACTTACCAGCTGCATGCCACTGAGCTCATCCACCAAAGTCATATCTCCAGACATAATCTTCTTCAGGGAGTCATTGAACTCACTCAGCTGCTCTAGAGTTTCTTTTTTGGTCTCTTCATACTCATCTGCATCCAGCTCCTCTCTAGGGAGGACCCAAGAAGAGACAGTGACCACAGGATTCAACCTGAGACACCCCACGGGGCACAGGGCATTGGCCATGGCACGGAGCTCGGCTCCCCAATGCAGTGAGGAGCTGCCAGCTCTGCAGCCTGCCCTGTTCCTGTGCAGCCCAGGCACTGCTTGGGTTTGCAGCCCTCCCAGCCACCTGCACGGCTCTACACCCATTGATAACAAAATAGACCTAGTAATAAACAAGATACCCCACACCTGGAGCAGAACTTAGAGGCATTTTTGGATCTCAACAAAATCATATGGTGAGATAGGCTTCTCAGATAATCTCACTGGCTGCAGCTTTGGGCAAGGCAATCTCCTGACCCAGAGCCATCCACTTAGGAACAACTGATCCTGCTGTCCAAACCCTGCCCAATTCCCAGAAGAGCACCACCACCCCTCAGCAGCTCTAATTGCTCTTGAAAAAGATACAAACTGCTGGGACAAGTCAGAACTAGAGTCAGAGAAAGCATCTAAACACAGGGTGTTTAAATGCAACTCCTAAAACAGATAAAAGTCCAACCTTCTTGATAATTCACTGTCTCAAATTGTATCAACACACAGAAGACTAGTATAAAATCACATGAAGAGTAAAACAAACTAAAAAGAAAACAATGCAACCCCGCAGGCATCCATAATTATGAGATAAACCAAAAGAGCCACAAAAGCTACTTGTTCACTGCTATTAAAAATCCCATAGAAAAAAAGTGATTTTTGTGAACAGCTATTGAAAGTTTAAAAGTCACACTGAAATATAACATTTCAAAGAAAATACAGAGTATTTCTGCTTGCATTTTTCCTAGATATATAAAACAATCTTAATAAAGGTTTTTAAAAGTAATTTTTACTGACACCAATATCCTACCTA